TTCCCTACAAGCCAGGGCCTCCACCTGGTCTCCCGACATAAGCACGCCATGGGACCAGAGTGAGGCTTCATGTTCCTTGGGGTTCTAGTGGACACTTTCCTGGCCTCAAAGAGGAGAAAGTCCACAGTTTATATACCATGTAATAATCTGCCAATCAGTCATCACCTAGTAAAGATGCAGGAATATAAAACAGCTTGTGTAAAGGTTATTATTAAAGTAACACAAACACAAAGAAAAACTGGAAAATAATAACAGAAAAAAATCACCTATGGTCCCATCAACCAAAAAGTAATCAGGTTTAACATTTTGGTGTAGTTTCTGCCAAGCTTTTTTTCTTAAAAATATTAATAATCAGAGTGAATAAATTTGCATTTTGGTCTTTTCACTTGACATGCTCTAGTCAGTATTTTCCCCTGCTATTACCTAGCCTTAGTAGACAAAATTATAATGGCTACAAAATATTTCAAGCAGACATATCATAATTTATGGAATTAGTTCCCTAATATATGTACTTTACATTTGTTTCCAATTTTTATAAGTAACATGCTACAAACATCATTGTACATAAAGTTTTTCATATATTTAAGATTGTGTCCATATGCCAGAGCCTCAGAATTAGAATTACTCAGTCAAAAACCATGGAAAATTTTATGGCTTTTGACGGATATTAAGTTGTTTTCCCAAATGTTTTAACCAATTTAGACGGCCACCTCAAATGTATGAGAGGGAATGTATTGCCACCTTCTTACCAATAGTGGATATTATCAGTTTTTTAAACCTTAAATTGGTTAACATGGTATTTTACAATTTAAATTTATATTTCCTTGACTGTATTCAGAATGAATTTTATTCCATTTAAGTATTTGTTTTTTCTTCATGTTGAATGTCATTCAGTGTCATTCATGTTGAATGTCATTCAGTGTCTTCTGTGTACTTATCTATTAATATCTTAGTGTTTTCTTATCTTTTTGTGGTTTCTTTATATAAAGCGGTATTAATCTGTTGTTATATTTGTTGGAATCATTTTCCTAGTGATTTGAATTCTAAAAAATATTGCAAACATAAAGAAACATTTAGAAAATAATATTGAAAACACTCATAAGCCCAAATCCAGCTTTATCAGATAACTATTTTGTTATCATTTCAGAAATTTTTCAGGAAGAAAAAGCTACAAACTACAAAAAATATATAATCTGTATGATATTGATTTTTTTTTAATTTGTTGAGACTTGCTTTGTGACCTCGCATGTTGTCAGTTTTTATAAATGTTTCGTGTGTTTGTGAAAGAAAGAAACATTCTTCATTTACCACTTGCAGGATCCCCTATATCCCTACTGGATTAAACTTGTTAGTTTTATTTTCTAAATATTCTATATCCTTCCTAATGTTTTTTTGTCTTCTTGGTCTGATAAAGGTTTTAAAAATTTCCTACCATGATTTTGGATTTGTAAGTATTTCCTTGTCATTCTGGTTTTGCTTCATGTTCTGTTTTTGCTTTATTTATATATATATTTTTGCTCTATATATTTTGTAACCATGTTGTTAGTACATACGAATTCATGATTGTACATTATTTTTTTCTTGATTATTACGTAGCATCCCCAAGCTTTTTGCTTCATATTCTATTTTTCAAATATCCTTCAAATATTTTCAGTCTAAAGTTCATTTGTTCGATTGATTTCTTTATTTTAATGTTTATAGTTTTTATTTCTATTTGTTTTTCTTTCCGATCCACCTATTTCTTGTTTCATTATTGATTTTTTGCTTCACACTTTCTTTTTTTTAATGGAAAGGTTATCTTCATTTACCTCTTTGAACATCATCAGCACATGCGTTTTCAATTCCTTATCAAACAGTTTCATAAAGTTAATTTTATCTAGAGAGAATCATGTTCTAACTGCAGAGGTGGTATTCATACTCTTTCTTAAGTTAGATATTTAAATGTGGTTTTGGAATTTTATTTTGCAGGAGGCTCCTTTTTAGTAGAAAGTTTTTTAGTCTTTTTTTATTTCCTCGTTTTCTTTTTCCCCTCCATGCTCACTCCTTCCTATCTGACAATATTGCTTTTGCCACATGGCACTCTGGGGCACCCAGTCCAAGACTGAGTTGAGTACTCAGCAGTATTTTGGAATTCCCAGCTTACTTTGATACTGTAGATATCACAGAGTCCTTCACTGCATCAGGCTGTGGGTTTGAATTCCTACTTACCAACATTCACAGCTTTGTATGAGGCCATAGCTCTAAGCAATGGATGAGCCAACTTTCTTTCAGTCTCTATGACTAAAAGGAGCTCCAACCCTAGTCCTTGTCCTCAGAGTTCTCTGTATGAGGCTGTACACTGTTAGTCTTCATTAACCTGTGGGAACTGAAACCTTGGACATGGGAACAGAAGGCCAATAGGTATATAGTTGCAATTCTCTCTTCATTGTGGTACTTTTTGTTTGTTTCTGCTTCATGTTGATATTTATATTTATGCTTTTTGAACCCAATTAAATTATTTGATTTCCCTTTTTATGTCCTATTTATTATTGCTATGCATTTGGAATGGGTATGGGAACTGAAGGTGGGAGGGGATGTTTTATCAGAGCTGAAGCCACTGCACCACTTGACCAGACAACAGTTGTTCATTTCCACTTACATTTAATATGCAAAAGTTTGAGACTTATGAGATCAAATATTACTTCATTCCTCTTTTGAATCCTCTTCATACTTCTAACCTTAAAGAACTCTCTACTCCAGATGTTGAATATTCACTTTTCCTACTTTTTCTGAAGATCTTACTATTTTATTTTCATCTTAGGTTTTTAATTCTACTTAGAACACATTTTATTATAAAGTATGAGATGAGCTAAAATTAAAAGAGCTTAAAGAGCTAAAATTCTCTCAACACTATTTACTGAAAAATTCTTTTTCTTATTATCATTTCCTAAAGTGTTATATATAATAGGACTTATTTCTGAGCTATCTCTTTTGTTTTATTAATTGACCTCTCTAGTCAACTTCCAATAGCATTGTTCTAATTATTGAAGCTTTTATATGTTTTAATGTCAGGTAGAACAAGTCCCACTACATTATTCTTTTTTTATATAGTCTTTAAAAATTGAATTATAGTTGACATTCAATATTAGTTTCAGGTATATAACATAGTGATTTGATGTTTTTATGTATTATAAAATGATCATCGTAATAAGTCTAGTTACCATCTGTCACCATATGAAGTTATTAAAATATTACTGATTATATTCCCTATGCTGTACATTATCCCCATGACTTATTAATTTTCTTTCTTTTTTCAAAATGTGTTTTAATTCTATTTAGTTTTTCTCAATAAACTTCATTTTTCAAATTTAAAAAAATCACATTGAGATATTTTTATTAGTATTCGCATTAAACCCCCATATTAGTATTCACATTAAACCCCCATATTTGAGGAAAATTTACAGGAATCTGGCATGCATTAATATGTCATTTAAAAAATTTCCCATTAATATGTTTTTTATTTTCTTCTTATAGGTTACATTTATT